TTTTTTTCCCTTCTTTTGTCTAATTCTTCAAGTTTCAGTCGGCCCCTCGCTAATCAACATCTTAAACTTCACTACGTGGCATACGCTGTATGACAATTGCACATAAAAGCTAATAACACAATCCTATTGCTTGATGGCACCTCTTGTCTTCCTGATCTGAATATCTGCTAGTACCGAAGCCTACCAGGCTGAGATCCAATCAGCTCAGTCAACCATCCCTCCAGACGGGAGATTGTCATCTAGAAAGACGGCAGTGCGCGCCACTAAAGCAGGCCCCATGTCTCGACTCCTGAATTAGCTGCAAATCATTTTCCATGACGCAATCCGGCCATCTTCCGTGAAAAATGTGGTTCCTTTTGATTTTATTTTTTTCTGATCTAATTTTTTTTTTTCAAGTCTCCAATTGTTACCCCCCTTGGTCATTGCCCCGCTATAGCGGTCAGGACGTAACACACATACTGTGCCACATTGTATGGGGTACAACTGTTCAGTAGGTAAGTTAAGTAATAGGTGAAATAAAGTGATACCTAATTCGGGGCGTGTGACATAGAAGATACCTAAACTTCACGACAAACCCCATAACTTTCAGGTCACAAATGAAGGTTGAAGATAAGTCCAGAATGCAGAGACGCAATTGGGTAATCTAGCGCGGATCATCACTCTCAAGTGAAGAAAAAAAAAAAAAAAGACCATTCTCCGGACTTCCCCTCCTCCTCTCCTCCTCAAACCACTCCAGATGTTGTGATTTGAACATGTGATTGGCATTAACTATCACAAGCTATCGCACGCTAGTACCTGATTGACTCTGGAGCAGCTCCCTCGAACTAGAGAGTATCACAGTATCGTACAATCAAAGGCGAGACAAAGACCTAGCAACTAAATTAATTTCCCCCCCTAAGTCGTTAGAATATGGAGAAAATTGAACTAGGATTCAGGGGAAAGCTCCATGCTTTTTGCCTATCTCCATATTCTACTCCCCCCAAGCTTTGACTCTAGTGACGCTAGTACCTTGCTAATTTATTCCACGGAGCATGTGGTTAGATAAGGACTTGTCAGGAAATCATGTGCCCCCTGTAAGAATGCGAGGAGGATACACATGGTATCTGATTGCAGAAGGCGGCAAGATCAGGGTATCAGGAAGATCGCTTTACCTTCCCGGATTGTTCTTCAGGCGACGTGTCATCGGCCAACAAAAAAAGGGTACCAATCGGGTCGACAAGCCTCACTCCCCAGACCATCACCACAATTGCCGTAATTCGGAGTAACCGTTGAATCAGGGGTAGGTAAGCAGGAAAAAAAAACAAAAAAACAAATAAATTAAAAAATAAATAAAAGCCGCCTGAGTAATCAATGGGGTAGTAGTTGAAAAATTACAAAAGATTTTATGTTCCTAGTAGGCACCAACAATTGGGAAAACTTCGGTGATTCGCTCTCCACTGCCTTTTCCGTCAGGGCCTTGTCGTGGTATTTTTGGACCTCCTTGGATACTTAGGTAAGGTACGGAGGTGAATCAAGGACCTTTGGGGTTACTTTTACCCACTTCGGCTCATCTTACTCCGTATCGCTCATCCCCAGATAATGGGTAAGGTATCTCACCAGCTTAGTCTGAACCTGAAGCTCTTCTAATCAAGGGAAAAGTCCGTCGCTGATAGGGAACACGATATGCCAAATTCCACCAATGATGATGTCAACTGGTCGAATTGGGTGTTCCAGCAATAGTACTCCTAGTTAGTAGAGAGCCCGAGCTAAAGCGTAATTGAATAACACCGGATTCCGGAAGCACGGCCCCGCATAACCTGGGGGCGGCGGCTGTGAGCCTGTGAATCGGTGATATCAGCGTGGTACGGCTGTCGCAACCTGACTGGTTGAAAACTCCTGTTCCAGAAGCTTGTGGGCCCCCGGATCGATAGCCTTGGCGCCTTGTGGGGGCCTCGCAGTGCGTGTACGTAAGACCGGCCCGGCCGTGGCTTTTGTGCTGTCGCAATCTGTTACAGAATGTTGTATGTGTTAATATTACCAAGGTAATATACTACGTTGTATCAATATATCTGGGAGACTCTATCAGAGTTCAGTAGCCTGTACCCTCGCAGAACCAACAGTGTTCTGCTGATAAGCATTCCCTGCATATCATGTTCCTTCTAATCCCTGATAAAGGCTATAGTATGTCCCTCAGTGACCTTGTGATATGCTATGGTGACTTCCCCGGATTTTACCCCCGCACGTATTTGCCAAGCATCCAGCATGTTACCGTTGTCATTAGCGCTTGGAAACGGCAATCGGAGGAGTGAGTGCAAGATTGAGGTAGTAATGGTGTGTTGCGTGACAGGTTGCCCCTTTTGAGAGGCTTGAAGACCCTTGAGATACGCCAGTCATGTAGAGCGAAAACGCAATTATTGATGGATCTAGCGCGTGCAGTAAACGAAATCAGGGCATTACTATAGTATATGAGGTAACATTGCCATCGATTTCTCCTCGAGCACGTCATGATCCTCCTCGAATTTATTTTTGGTAAAGATTATCGTAGCACCGATAGTTCAGTTCAACAATATGTATGTCGCACAACTATCATGACCAGGGCGGGGAGGTTCGCCATGGGGTTGCTGTCGAATGCGTGTGTAACATCTTACTTATACTAAACCATCATGCAACTGCAATGTGGGGGTTAAACAGAGGTTAAGGCGCTAAAATCTGAAATAAATTAAAAATAAAAAAATAAAAATAATAAATAAAACCAACAAAGTAAAAGAAAAAATGTTAATCCCAGGATCCAAGCAGATCCGTTCTGAATATTTCCGGGGTCATGTTGACATCCTGTTATGAACTCTCATACGAAAGCTGGCTCAAATTGCTCCTTCTGGTTTGCGCATCTGTAGTATTGTCGAAGATCGTCATTAGAGTTAGATCACCACACACTCCACAGTTCGGTGGCAGCCTTTTTAAGCGGACTTTTATCCGGAACTAAGCGAAAGGAGCTGAGCCCGTGCATGGAGCGTAGTAAATTGTCGTCATCTAAACTTGACTGCTAGATTCGATCTCGTAATTGGACCTTGCAGCGCAGAGTGACTAGTCGGACCAGAAAAAGAGAGAGAGAGAGAGAGAGAGAGAGAGAGAGAGACACCGACGCGTACAATGTTAGATTACCTGTTCATTTCTTTTTTCTTTTTTCATTTTACCCCACACACCAACACAGTGGTTGGTCAATGGAATGATCGGCCATCTTCCTCAGCTGTGCATAGTACTGCATACGCTATACCCTAGGCGCCTGTTCATTGACATGGGGTGATTTGAATGACACCTGGTCTGGACTGGATCAACGTGTTTAGTCACCACGGGATGTAGTTACTATACCTTCTTCAGATCGATACAGCCCTACTTGGTCCAGATCCGAGACCGGAAGCCTGAAAGAAAGAGAAAAATACGCCAGCGATGTCGGTCTCTTAATTAATGATTATTAATATTCCCACCGGGCGCTTTGGAAGTAAACTCAATGTCATCAAGGCTGGATTGGAAACCTCCTGTCCGGGGTGATGTGTTGGACATACTCCGTATGCTGCACAGACTGGCCCCGCGATATGGGGTAATGTCTTCCTTGGTCTGATAGCGACTGTACGTAAACGGCGGTACCGAGGAAGGATTTTCTTATCTCAAAGTGGGGTAAGAAGTCGCCTGATAGAGGACGAGCAATGTACTTTGGGAGGGTAGTAACCACTACGGATAATCGGCTTCCAGAGAGAACTTGGCGGCTAAGTGATCATCAATCTGGAGTCAAAATTTTTTTTCTGGTTTCTTTTCCACTTTAGCTCTTCAACTTCCACGGTAACGGTAGGCAACCTCCAAATATATTGGCGATAATCTTCTCATCCCACACTCCACATGGGGCTATCCGTAACTTACCCAAGTGGGATTAGGGTTTGGTTGAAAGCAGGAGTAAATACCCATTTTGAGCGAAAAAAAATCCCAAAACGAGGACGATTCCACAACCCTAAGAGGAGGCGATCTGTTGATAATGGGATGACCAAAATCTGTGTGTAGATCACCGCCTGTGATCATCGCGGGGAAGATTTTCGTCAGTCCAAGAACTTCCCGTCAGATACGAGGAAGGTAAAAGAGGAAGGTCCTTTCAAAAGTATAGAATGAAGACTAATGATGAAAAGAAAAACAAAATAAACTAAAATAGAATCAAAAACCATAACACTCATAACCACTTCCATATCCTTCCGTGATCACCCTTCAATCTTTCTTCTTTCGATAGTATACTACAGTACTGGAGCAAGGCGTCCATTGTGGCTCTCAAGGGTGATGGGGCTTTTTTCTTTTTTCTTTTTCTTTTTTTCTCTTGCAAAGGCAAAAGATTGCCTAGGACTTACGCCATAGGTCCCTCATCCTTAAAGATCGTGCTGGACTTTACACGGAACCTCACAAGATATCGAGTGTGATACTTGACTATGCAAGAACCGTCGGCTTGCATTCTCCCGAATTGGCCAGTCAGTGGCCGTGGTTGAAGCTCGTGACAGTTGACGCCCGTACGGGGTCGATTATAGGCAGTTGTAGGAAACCCGTCATTCTTAAGTCGGTCTCTCTTGGTCTCATATCGTAAAATCATTTGTAATGAAATTATCAATAACAACAGTACCGAGACCGTGGCTATGCAAAACCAATTGCTCGGTAAAAAGCGGGAAAAGGGGAAAACATGTCAGCCTGCAAATGCTTCTCTGACACTTGTGAGACTTACGAAAATAATTTATGTGTTAACATGAAACCCTAAGTTACGTGTCGACGCTACTAATGTAAGTGGAAGAACTATTACGTACCGGGTACTGGTACCTGCGTGCCAACTCCATTGTACTCCGTACACCCCATTTGTCCCACCTTTTCTCCAGTATTGCGTGGTGGGGTGATGCTGAGACTAGATACTGTGTCGAACGCTGGGAACTTCGCGGCATCCGGTCCGGCATCAGGTGCTAGACTAAAATTCCCCCAGGTAACTCTTGAACATAGTATGTACACAGAATATGTATTTTCCAAAGATAAGGGGTTAAGAAGGCCGACCACCGATCATATTATGTCATGCATGTCTTTGGTCGAAAAGATTAGCTAAGTTTATGTGGCATGTCATGTGCACCCACCAGGTGAATGCTGTTGCTATGTGCATACATTTTCCTACACCCTCAGCTTGTATGCGCACTCGTATTCCCAAGTCAAGGTACTTTCGACACCCTTATCTGGGCGTTCTAATTAGCTATCCCCCCCTCCTCTTTAATCTATGGGGATCTCGTCGCGACACTTCCTCCCTTAGCTCCAGGAACCTCTGGGCCATAGAGGGCGCGAACTCCTATCGGGGTCACAATGCAATCTCTGCTGATCGCAGAAATTTAACAGTCGAGTTTACCCTATCGGAAGGGTTCAGGGCATCCCATGATATCTCTCGGTCGATAAGTGGGGACGCCCGTTCCTTCCCCCGCTTAGGAACGTTTCTCTGATAACATTAGTAGTACTCAAGCCGTGGATATGGGCGCATAACAGGCCAGGATATTGGAGTTGATTACGCATATCCTGCTGCATTTGATATTGATGTTACAATCTATATCTTGTTTGTAGGCAGTATTGGGTACGCTCGATGAGAAACCGGTCAAATCAGAGGTGTCGTTACGTATATATACAATTTAGAGAATATTTATAGTTATATATATACGTACATAATGCTAATGATAAATGATAATCAAACTGGTCCTTCCTGATAGTACCCATGACTCTAGAATACTCAAGACAGCCCTTGCCACCGCGGGGTGAAACTTGTGATCGACCACTAGGAAACAGCTGAGACGGCTTCATGCATGCTGTCCATTTCCTCGGTCTCCTTCCCATTACCTATTTGCTGGACGATCTTTTCTTTTTCGTCAGCCGTCTAGACCCTCACCTTGTCGTAATGTTAAATAAATAGTTCCAACCGAAGAAGAAGGCCTCCTTGCATGGTGACGTTCATTGTTCTTGAAAGTTAAATCACACCGATGTCAAAAGACAAATAAACCCCGGCTGTGTTTCCCCAGAAAAACCAAAAGCCCTCCTACGTAATCCCTCCGAATAATAACTTATACTTTAAGCATTAATAATGGTATCAGAGTGCCTGAAAGGATGGATTTTGTGGTGGCTGCGCTCGATAAATTAACCTGCAGCCAGACTGGCTGGAGTTGGCTTGCCGGACGCCGTATCTTTCTTTATCCCGAGGGGGCTTGGCTGGAGGGGTCTTGGCTCTCTCCATGTTCCCCAGGTTCATGGGGAGAAGAACCATTCTACTTAACTACTAGTATTATCTTCCGTTGAGATTAGAGTGGGCTTAGTGGTCAGAGATAACCAGTCATGAAGTCCACAGCCCTTCACCGTGGCACATTCTTATCAACAATGGATATGCTGGTCATCATGAAGAGAAGATAGGAATCATACACCATCTGGGGAAGTCGCTCCGAACAGTGGTAGGGCAAGTGGACCTGGGGATTGCGGAGTTCATTTCCCAGAATTCTTCCTTTTTCTCCTTCGATTACTTGACTATTATCATTAATATTATGGTTACCATTACTACTATTCATTTTTACTTTTGTTTCTAGTTTTCTTTGTCATCCAAGTTATTGCCTTTGCTCTGATGGAAAGTGGTAGACAGGGTTTAGGTGATAGAAACACTAAGATTAGTCGAAAGGTTGACCGAATTATCATCTATGTTAGGTAACCGTTATCCTGGCTGGACTTAATGGAAGAGATGTTACCATGTCGGGTAATTAGAGGAGGCAGGTGGAAGAACCTTGCAACTAGAAGCGTTGAGGGGCCTTTTGGAGGCGTCGATTAGGGTCTTGTTGCCGCCTTGTGGCTGACTTGAGGCTTACTTTCGGCGATCACATCATATTTCCTAAATGAGAAGACCGGACAAATCCCCTTTTCGGACAGATCAACCTCGCTTTCTTTGCTTGTCTGGGGTATGGGGCAAGAACTGATTATTGCCCTAACCTTGGTTCATTCGTTTCCTCGAAAGTAGGGCGGCTGTTTCTTTTTTTTTTATTTATTTATTTAATTTTTTTGGTCTGTGACTCATGACACACCGACAGCTGCCTGTGTTGTTGTCATTACCCGCCTAGGGCGTCATCCCGGCTAATTTTCGTGGACTCCAGCTCAGCCAGTGGTTGCGCCAACAGCCTCATGAGGCCGTCTCGACCGATGATGAATGATGAAGTATTGGATCTCGCCCATCGTATGACTCTGGGCACAGCGCATCTCGTCAGCGCTTTTTGATATCATCAGCGCCTATGATCGGCTGAACCCATCACACCCGCTACAGTGGAATCTCTTTCATTCGACAGTGTTTTACCTCCCTACAAATATTGACTTATTTCAATGTCCAACCATTCACGGGAGACGGTCGATCAACTGGTCTGGACCAACAGTCTTGATGTTCTTTCGAACAGCCTTTCCCCAGGTATGCCCCAGACATGCTGGGGAAGAGACCAAAAAATGCAAACACGGAGTCGCAGCATTCCTCGGAAGGCGTCATCACCCCATTCCATTATCATCATCACTCCTCCAAATGTTATCATTGCGCCCCGTCTTCTTGTCTTGTATAATTCTTGGTTATTGTTTCTTTAAACTTTCATTGCTATTTTCATATATTTCTAAACAGTCTTTTTTTCCCCCGATTCCCGTAGTGTAAAT